AACCTGTTCATGGAAGAATTCGAATCCAGAGCCCTGGCCAATGCCATCCTCAAACCCAAACTATGGTTAAGATACATCGATGACACATTCGTGATTTGGCCCCATGGACAAGAAAACCTAAACAATTTCCTAACACACCTAAACAGCGCACACCCCAAAATCAAGTTCACCATGGAAACAGAAACAAACAAACAACTACCATTCCTAGATGTACTAATCTACAAAAAAACAGATGGCACACTAGGACACACCATATACCAGAAGAAAACACACACCAACCGCTACCTCAACGCCCAATCCCACCACCACCCAGCACAGATAAACTCCGTGGCTAAAACACTAATTACCAGAACCAAACGCCTGGCAGACAAGACACACATTAAGGCTGAACTATGCACCCTGACTAAAGTACTGACAGCCAACGGCTTCCACAAAAGCAAAATCACCAGCTTGATCCACAAAAACACACTGAAACATAATAGAGACCCAGAAGATGAACAGACCTATGGAACAGCTGTCCTGCCCTACATAAGAGGTACTACAGACAAAATTAGTAAGGTACTACACAGACATCACAGGGGACTTCGTATATGCCTTGGTTTTCCAGGTCAATTTTATCTTTGGGGTTGCTAAGGTAAAATTGACCTGGAAAACCAAGGCATATACGAAGTCCCCTGTGCATCATGCCCGGCCACATACATTGGACAGACCAATAGAAGAATAAGCACCCGCCTGGATGAACACAAAAATGCAGTCAAAAAGCTGGAACACACTTCCTCACTAGTCCAACACATGGAAGCCACAGGTCATAGCATCAACTTCAATGGCACCAAAACCCTGGCCACTATAGAAAACCCTAATCACAGAATCATCAGAGAAGCCATAGAGATTGAAAAAAGACCAGAAAGCATGAATAGAAGAGATGATTCCACCAGGCTGTCAATCATTTGGAAGCCTGCACTCACAAACAAAAAAATCTCCACACCACAAGCCAAGCAAACACCTGGGCACAAACAGATCCCCCCTGATACCTCCAGCTCAAACACATCCCAACCAGGCACCCAGATGAAACCCAGCTTCCTAACTAATGATAGCCGTCCATTTACCCGAAGCCAAGCTGCACTAAAGGCCTCCATTAAAGCAACACAATGCTGCCAGCCAATCAAGATACAAAAAGAGCCAAAAAACAGACAGAAGATATTAGAGACACCAATCAAGCAGAACACAGCAAACTCCGAGACCAATAAACACAGACCAAGACTCCCAACCAATCAGGATGAAGAAAAAACCATTCTGGCACAGCAATAGGCTGCCCCAAATTCAAATCTGAAACCACTGTAAAAGTCTGACTCACAGACGGACACAATACAGAAGCCTGATGATGGCAGATGAGATTCTGCTGAAACGTTGCTACAACTTTAAAAGAACAACTACAATGACGTGGGAAAATACCCGAACCAAGCCGAACACCATACACATATATATATATATATATATATATATATAAACATACACATACACACATACACATATATGTTTATAAATAAATTTGTATCTGGGCGTTTGAGAACC